GCGAGATGTCGGTGGAGCCCGCTGCCAGAGGGCTTCCAGACGAACGTATGAACGATAGTGCTGCTGAGGTGGCCATGAGCGCTGGCTCTGCCCGGGAGGAGCCGGTGGCGCGCCGCTCGGCCGGCGGCTGGGGCGGCCCCTGCTCCGACCGGATCGACCGCGACCTCACAGCACCGGCCGCAGGCTCGCCCGACTCAGACCTGGCCGAGATCCTCAGCTGCAGCGGCGAGCGGCGCCCGCTCGGCCAGCTGGACACAGTGCTGGTGACGCCGGGCGGCCAGCGCCGCGGCGCCAGCTCCGCCGGCTCCGACCCGGCCGCGGACACCCCGCTGCGGCCGGCAGGACCGCCGCCGCGCCGGCGCGTCTCGCTGCCGCCTCCAGCCGACGCCACCGCCGACGCTGCTGCTGCTCCGGACAGCCCCAGCAGTCAGGACATGCTCATCCCGGCCGACTTCTTCAACGACTCGAGCCTGTGCGTGGCTGCAGAGCCGAGCCAGTCGGCGCGGGAGCCGAGCCGCAGTGCAGAGGTGAGGCCTCGCATGCGCCGGATGACTGGACGACGGGCGACAGGCGACGGCGACGGGCGACGGGCGACGGGCGACGGGCGGCGGGCGACGGACGACGGGCGACGGGCGACGGGCGACGAGCGACGAGCGACGGCGACGGATGGCGGGCGAGGGGCGACGGCGACGGGCGAAGTCGCCGTGTCGGACAGCGTATGCCTCCTGTGGTGCACGCCGGAGCGTATACCGCCGTGCATTGCATCTCGCATTAATCCCTTAAGCATTCGCATGAAAGATTGATCATAAGTCTCACATTGTGGACGTTCAGTTGTGGGTGCGGTTGGGGAGGGAGGGGGGTACTTGGGCGCGATCGTCCTTTCTCTGTGGCGTGGCCAGTAGATGTTGTCAGGTATTTAGTGTACCGTCTGCTTCACAGCCACGACCCTCAGACCCAGTGGCAGGCGCCGGCGGTGGCGCAGCCAACCAGGCGGCATCTCGGACAGACAATCAGGAGGCATCTCGCGCCTCCGATCAGGAGCCGTCCCGGGCCGCCGATCAGGAGCTGTCTGAGGCGGAGTCGGAGGACATGTTCTGCGCCAGCCGGCCCATGGAAGAGCCGAGCGCCCCGACCGCCGGACGCCGCAGGTGAGCTGGCCTCGCCGACCCGGCACCGGGCGCAGGTGACCCTTACGTCGACCGCTGGCAGTGCCCGGCCCGTATGGCCAGTGAGCTGCCTCGCGCTCGGTTAAAATGTGTGCGTCGTCTGTCCCGACGCCCGATGATACTCCTCAGCGAACTGGCATCGGTCCTGCCTTTTTTTACTCGAGGCGTCTGATGATCCGCGCTTAGGAGCTCGCTGTTTTCTGTCTCTGTACACGAGTGGTCAACATCGGGTAGTAGTGCTATGCCGGCAGTTAGCATTTACGTGAGGTGGAATGTGCACAGGTTGATGCGCTGGATGTGATAATGGTCACAGTTGTCAACGGGCTCAATCAACATCATCGCTGAAAGTAAATCGCGATGAAATGCCACTGAAATGAAATGCCACTTGATGAAAGGGCCCGTGGTCCCCGCGGGGCATCGGCGACTGCTGTTGGCCGCTGCCGTGTGTGCGTGACTGGCGGCCGGCCCGTACCCGCCGCAGCTCCAGCGCCGCCCGGCCGCCGCCGCCGCCGCCGCCGCCGCCCGTGATCGTGGTGTCGGGTCTGAAGCGGACGGAGCAGGAGGCGGCGCAGCAGCTGGCTGCGGCGCACGGCGGCCGCTTCCTGCGCCAGTGGCAGCCCGACGTCACGCACGTGGTGGTGCGCACCGGCGACCAACGGGAGGCCGGCCGCACGCTCAAGTTCTTACAAGGCGTGGCGGCGCGCGCCTGGCTCGTCTCGTCCGGCTGGGTAGCCGACAGTCTGGCGGCCGGCGCCCTGCTGCCCGAGGTGAGGCTGGCTGGGTAGCCGACAGTCTGGTGCCTTGTTGCCCGAGGTGAGGGTGGCTGGACAGTCAAGTCTGCTGCCCTGCTGCCCGAGGTGAGGCTGGCTGGGTAGCTGAAAGTCCAGAGATGGAACGCAATTTGACGTATGGACATTTTCGCAACACTTCGCCTTTCATTACTGCTAGTTGCGTTGAGACAAGTGGGGTGTCATCCAGCAATCACTCACAATGTGGCCCAGAATCACCCAGCGATATCGGACGCGCGATGAGTGGACTATTCGGAAGAATGAGCCTACTGAGTGGTGATGAAAAAAATTGTTGCAAACATGTCGTTTGACTAGAATTGCATGTAAGGGTCATATGTCACGTAGCGTGAGCCTGACCGCTGTCCTGATCGCCTCCTCTCGCCGCGACTAACAGGAGACGTATGAGGTGATCGACGCAGCGACCGGCGAGCCAGGCCCGCGCCGCGCGCGCCACACCGGCGGCGCACTGTTCGCCGACTTCGCCTTCTGCTGCGTTGAGCCTTTCCGTGACGTGACGCTGCAGCAGCTGGAGGTGAGCGCACCGTGCCGCGTTTGGCACCCCGGGCCGCTCGCACGGCGAGCGTGTGTCAAAGCACGGATGGGGTCGGCGATTCGGTGGCGCGTCATGGTGTAGCCAGCAGCCTGTTCTGGCGTCGTGCCACCGGCTCTAATGCCGTGTGACCTGCCTGCTCTGGCGCCACGTCACCGGCTCTGGTGCCGTCTGCCCTGCGTGCCCTGGCGCCACGTCGCCGGCTCTGATGCCATGTGCCCTGGCGCCGCGTCATCGGCTCTGGTGCCGCGTGCCCTGCGTGCCCTGGCGCGACGTCACCGGCTCTGGTGCCGTGTGCCCTGCGTGCCCTGGCGCGACGTCACCGGCTCTGGTGCCGTGTGCCCTGCGTGCCCTGGCGCCACGTCGCCGGCTCGGATGCCGTGTGCCCTGCGTGCCCTGGCGCCACTTCGCCGGCTCTGATGCCGTGTGCCACGCGTGCCCTGGCGCCACCTCACTGGCTCTGGTGCCGTGTGCCCTGCGTGCCCTGGCGCCACGTCACCGACTCTGGTGCCGTGTGACCTGCGTGCCCTGGCGCCACGTCACCGGCTCTAGTGCCGTGTGCCAGCGTGCCCTGGCGCCACGTCACCGGCTCTGGTGCCGTGTGCCCTGCGTGCCCTGGCGCCACGTCACCGACTCTGGTGCCGTGTGACCTGCGTGCCCTGGCGCCACGTCACCGGCTCTGGTGCCGTGTGCCCTGCGTGCCCTGGCGCCACGTCACCGGCTCTGGTGCCGTGTGACCTGCGTGCCCTGGCGCCACGTCACCGCCTCTGGTGCCATGTGACCTGCGTGCCCTGGCGCCATGTCACCGCCTCTGGTGCCATGTGACCTGTCTGTTCTGGCGCCATGGCATCGGCTCTGGTGCCGTGCGACCTGCCTGCTCTGGCGCCATGTCACCGCCTCTGGTGCCCTGTGACCTGCCTGTTCTGGTGCCATGGCATCGGCTCTGGTATCGCGTGACCTGCCAGCTCTGGGGCCATATCAGCGGCTCTGGGGCCGTGTAACCTGCCTGTTCTGACGCCCTGTCAGCCCTGGTGTCGTGTGACCAGCCTGGTCTGGCACCATGTCGCCGGCTGTGGTGCCGTGTGACCTGCCCCAGCACGGCGTGACCCGCTCCGTCCCGCCCTCAGGACCTGATCAGACAGTCAGGTGGGGCGGTGGCGGCGAGCCCGGAGGAGCTGTCGGCGGCGCCTGCCCGCCGCGTGCGCCTGCTGGTGGCCCAGGAGGAGTGCGAGCACGACTTCGCCGGCTGGCGCCGCCGCCACGGCGTGCCCAGCGTGTCCTACGAGTGGCTCATCGACTGCGTGGCCACGCAGCGGCTCTGGAGCTTGCTGGACAATACGCTGTGCGGCGCCACCGTCGACGAGCTGCGCCGCGCCGGCGTGCCCGAGCCGCTCTGTCAGGCCGAGACGCAGGAGACCGAGTACTTCGACTCGATGGGCCTGTAGGCGGCGCTGGTGCGGCCGCTCGAGGGCGACGGCGGCGGCGGCGGCCCGGCGCGGCCCGACCTGTCCAGGGCCGGGCCGGTCACACGCCCAGCTGGACGGCTTAGTACGCCGCTCGCCAGGGGCCTGGGGTCGTCGAGCAAGGCCGGCGTCGCGCCCAGGACAGTGCCACGCCGGGACCACGTGGAGGGCTCAGCTGACGCCGCCTCTTACTGAAGAGCGCGGCCCCGTGGGTGGGTAGCGTGTACGGCTGCATTGCGGCCTCGCTGCCGCTGGCGATCATTGGAGGACCACTTGGCTGCCTGTGTGCAGGGGCCGTCCGGACATCAGTGCGTGTAAGCTAACTGCACACAGTAGGTCAGCAAGGTGGGTCACTGTTGGCCGCTGATGGTGATTTTCGCATGTGTGTCACCCCAAGTGCTCGTCTCCACTTTCTGGAGTCATCCGCTGAAACGCTTTTCGTTTTGCAGGTTTGACGTTATAAGGCAGGGCGTGACGTGGTGCAATGCCATGAGGTTGCCTTCACCACGGTTTATTTTCACAATTATGAGGAAATAATACGTAGCGCCAGAGTTCTGATGGCAGCCAGTGGTTATCGACGATATGGACCCACAACTTACGCGAAGAGATTATACAGGGGCCTCACATATGCGCCAGGTGGCGGCCCGCTGCGAAGTGGACTGGCGTGGCGTCTGATCGGTTCTCGTTGATAGTGGCATGGTAATTCCTCTGTCAGCAACCGTTTGTACTTCGTTTCCTTTCCGCTGGCGTGGGACGCACGGCGCCGCGGTATCCGGTGCGCTTCTCCGCATCTCTGACGTCGCGTCCGGCCTGATCCTGCCGGACCACGCTCGGGACCGTGTTCCGCAGAGCTGGGTGGCAGTGCCGCCCCGGCCCCGGGCGCGGCGCCGGCCAGCTGCCGCACCTGCACACTCGGCCTCCAGGCTCCGTCCCGCCGTGGCGCGTGTGTTTGTTTCTATAGTACATGAAATACAGGTGGGCCAATAGTTGCACACGTTTGGCCAACGACCAGACAGTGATGACGACCAACGACCCGACATTAGTTGTAGTATTGAGAACGTTCGTGACCCACACGAGAACGTACACCAGCGAGTCGTTGACGTGCGATGTTCACGCGCCGGCCACCCGAGGTGAAGGCCACTGAGGTGACGGCCGGCCCTGCCGCAAGCACCGCTTCTGAACGGGAAATGGTCGGCGGCGTACATGACACGCGCGCCGGCCCGGGCTGGGTCCGCCACCTCCTCCAGATCGCACGCCCCTGTCACACTCGTCCTGGGGAGCGCGGCTTCCACGTGCGCCGGACACGCGCCGCCTCCGGGCACGGTTCAGGGGCGCGGGGCGCGGCCGGGCTGCCTGCTTGACCTGTCTGGTCTCCGCGCGGTCTTCCGCGAAGTCAGCAGGCGCTGCCGTGCGTGGCCGCTGCCCAACAACGCGCTGCAGTTTATTACTGGGGGCTTTGGTCCGCAAAAGGACGCCGCGCAGCGCTCCCTGTTCAGAAAACGTGTATTTCAGTGGCCAGCCCACTGCCCTGCAGAACAGGTATGACTTACGGGTCGAGCCTGGGTCGCCTGCCAGACGATTGCAGGTTTCGAGACGGTCTTACGATATGATACAAAAACCAGCCCCAGCTTACCAAGCAACGTTCAACGCAGTACAATCAGGACACGTACAAACATGACGCAAGTGTGTTGTCATGGCGACCGACTAGACGGACGAAACTAGACGCCGCGAACAACTGGTGCAGCAACAAACGCCTTGTGGGAAAGGAACACACGAGTACAGAAACATCAAAATGAAATGGCTTCTTCTGACAGCGTCGACATGGAAATAATCACTGGAGATCTGCAACTGGAGGCGACAGGCTGCACGTCAATGACACGTCTCACCACCACATCGCGCCGACCAGTCAGGTCCACTCGCCAGCCGGCGATGCCGCGTCACGTCCCGCGAACATCGGGGGGAGGGGGGGGGGGGGGCGTGCCACCCGGCCCGGGCGCATTGTAGAACACGGGCCATCCTCTAGACGGCCGAGTCATTGGAGGCGGCCGCCGGCGACGCGCCCTGCACAACCACGGCCGGGACGTCCCTGAAAGCAGCCGCGTCTCTATCAGTCGGGCCGCCCGCGTCCGCGGAGGCCGCGCACGTGACGGGGTCACCTGACGTCAGAGGAGCGCCGCACATGTGACGGGGTCACCTGACGTCAGAGGAGCGCCGCACATGTGACGGGGTCACCTGACGTCAGAGGAGCGCCGCACATGTGACGGGGTCACCTGACGTCAGAGGAGCGCCGCACATGTGACGGGGTCACCTGACGTCAGAGGAGCGCCGCACATGTGACGGGGTCACCTGACGTCAGACAAGCGCCGCACACATACGACTGACGACTCTAGTTACGTATCTATGATGAAACTACCGGCTTGGACGAGGCCACTGGCCTACCACGTTGTTATGCGATAGGTCACATTGGGCGTGGTATCGCGACAGCTGCCCGCGAGACAGGTGAGGTCGGCCCGTCGCCGCGACTGCGACCATTCACGCGGCAGGGGATTGCCGCCGGTCCCGCGGCTCGGCAGGTACGGGGGTGGTGTCGCGACAGCTGCCCGCGAGACAGGTGAGGTCGGCCCGTCGCCGCGGCTGCGGCCATTCACGCGGCAGGGGATTGCCGCCGGTCCCGCGGCTCGGCAGGTACGGGGGCGCGTACGGGACCGCTACGCGGCGCACGCGGACGGCCACGATACGACACGCATGGAACACCTGAATAACAGCCGGGCAGGCTAGGCTGTGTGCGGGCCGGTCGTGTCACCACGCCAGGCGGAGCGTTAACCTCTGGCGACAAAAACCAGCTGAAACGGCATCGCTGCGATGCGTTGGTGACCAGGGCGACAGTCTCGGGAGATGGCACCTGTCACATGGCGCGGTGATGCGACCAGGGACCTCTAAACAACATGCGCTTAAGCAATGTTTTGGTCACAAGAGTCGATCACCAGCCTTGGAAAGGGGAAAATCTGCATGACGTGCAAAACATATCGCATGACAAGCACTCCAGCCTCAATACAACAAAGCACGAATAAGGTGCATAGTATGGAGTAGCAGTTGCAAACTAGTCACGGCGTACCTGTCATCACTTGCTCCGTGGCCAGCTCCGTTTCCGTTTTTGCTGTGTTGCAGTGGCTCCTTTTCGCTGAAACAATGTGTTAAAACATAAACTTGGTGAACAGCAGCAGAGGACATTCCAACACGATGCGGCACGCCCTGTGCCGATCCCACACCCGCCCGGTGATGAGACGTGATAGCAGCAAACTTTCTGGTAGACACGCCGTGTTCGTTGAGATAACGATTCCGCAAAGACCATGCTTCGCATGCAGCTATTCGTGAGACGAGTGCTGGCACGCAGCAGGGGGTTAAAGTCTCTCACCATCACAATGCTCGCAATGTCTTCAGAACTCCAAGCAAGGACCTCCAAAGACATGCCGAAAACTGGCTGGCTACAAACATGTCACCATCGAATGGGTTGGATTGGAATCTTGACAGCATCAGGCTTAGATCTGCTGAATAGCAGACACTGGACTGGTCGCTCGCGTCCCGCCACATTCACCGAATATTGACCCGATAATTTACTGAGAATACGTGCTCGAGATCTAAGGTTCACATTAAAGGAGAGTTGACTCAGCTGACAAGGACGGCAACCGCACGCCCTGACCTCTCACGAGCGAGACAGCACGTCCCGTACCCTCCCGTTCCAGTACGCTCGTCAGACCCTGACTGCATTCATCCCGCTGAAACGATTGGCTTTGGAGCCGAGCAGAGAAGCCGGGCCGTCGTGTGGACCGCGGCTGGGCGGGCGCGGCTGCCGTCCGTCAGCGGCGGCGGCGGCGGCCCGGCCGTCAGCTCACCTGGCAGCCGTGTTGGTCAGCTTGACCGCGCCCGACCTGCCGCGGCGCCGCGAGCAGAGCGCGTACACGATGCCGCGGCTGTTGACGGCGTAGCAGGTGAGGTCAATGAGCAGCAGCAGCACCAGCAGCACGCCCACCACCACGCCGACCAGGGCGGCCGAGGCCAGCGCCGGAGGCTCCTCCCGCTCGGCGCCGCTATCGCTCGCCGCCGGCCGGCCTGACGTCCCGGCTTCGCCTGAGGCAGTTGCGTACTCGCGTCACCCCAGCACGTCAACAGTGTGGACACGCCGTCCGCAGAGCACGTCAGAAGTCTAAACACACCGGCAGCCGGTCGCAGTAACTAAAAAAACCTGAACCAATCGAAATAGCGATGGCACAGCCTCCTCCCCGCCCGCCTCCCCCCCCCCCCCTACCCCCTACACACGTTGACTTACTGGCTGCAACGCTGTGCAGCCAAGCCAAAGAAGTTGTCATGGACACCGAACTCGAATAACGCACGAAACGTACACCCAGCGGTGGGAGCGCAGCAGACTGACAACTAAAAACACGAGTCTTTCGCAATCAGACGCTGCGTTAATTCGCTGGATATTTTCAAAGCAATCTTTCACAAACAGTTACTGGGTGCAATTGCTGTCACCAGTCACACGGAGCCACACACACATCCTAATGGCACACCAGGCGCAGCGAGAGCGAAACACTTCGAAACGAACGGTGAGTCGTTATTACCCCATCGCCCACTGAGCGACGTAACCGAGAGTGACAGTCTGGACCCGCAGCTGCGGGCCACCCGCCAGAGCGGGGACCAGACAGCTCGCAAGAGCATACCTGACTGACCGAGCAAGACAGAAAGGGACCCGGACGCCCCACGGCAAGGCCCGTTAGTGGAACCCATGCGTATTTACCTGCGTCCGTTGGCGACCGTTAGCACTACCTGCGCAGCCGTGGCGGCGTCGTTACGCCGGCGCGGCGGGGCGTTAGGGTCACGCTACGGCCGGCACTGAGCTGCCGGTGCGCCACAGACGGCTCCAGGCCCCGGCCGGCGCCGGCACACGTGTATTGTTCAGCACCTCAGGCGCGGCGACATCACAACGGCAGACGGGCTGGCCACCACCGGCGGGAGCGGATCGGACGCCGGGCTCAGTGGCGACCGGTAGCGATAGCGGAAGCCACAGCGGAGAGAGGCGACGCCCGCCTCAGGACACAGGACAGTATGGGTTAGAGCTGCAAGCGACAGGAGACGTCGACGTTAGGCGGAAAGAGGGAGGTGTGGGGTGAGCAGCAGCAGGTGGGCTGGGGCCGGACCCGCAGCCGCGCTGCGGCGCCAGGGCCCAGCCCGGTCAGGGAAGGGCGTCCGACCCGGCCCGGCCGGCGGCCGCCGCCACTCAGCGCCTGCCTCCGACACGCTCACACTCGGACGCGGCCCTCAGAGATCCCGCGCCGCCCCACTGACGCACGCTCTCACCCACACTGACTCGGTTTGGCATGGAATGTGGTTGGTCCGGAGCGGCCGGCCGCCGCGGCTCGGCGGCCCTTTGCGCGGCCACCGACACCCGACCACGCTCGCGCGCCGCCCCGTCCGGCGACTACCTGCCGACGGCGGCGTCCAGGTGCCGGCTGTCTCTCCTGGTCCGCGCCGCGTGCACCAACACCCACGCGTGCGTGGCGCCTGCGCGGCGCGCGCCACTCGTCTCGGGCGCGCCACACCCGAACCAGCATGCCCCGCATAAATAAAGCAACACCCGGACATGCGCGCGTCTACGTGGCCACACCGACACCGGTCCACACGGCCGGGCCGCGCGCCGGGCGCGGCCCGGCCCGGCCCGCCGCAGGGCGCGCCGCATCACGGCCCAATGGCGGCCAGGAGAAGCAGTGAGATACCGAGGGGAGAGGCGACCGTAGTGCTGACGCCGCCCGTCGGGTCGCCGCCCGGGCTCGGTGCACCTGTCAACGGGCGCGTGACGTCACTGCCGACGGTCCTCACACGGCCGCTGGGGCCGGCCCCCGCAGCGGCGAGGATCCCTCAGCGAGTGCGGGCGGACGGGGGCGGCGAGGACCGCGGCGAACGGGGGCGGCGAGGACCGCGGCGGACGGGGGCGGCGAGGACCGCGACGGACGGGGGTGGCGAGGACTGCGGCGGACGGGGGCGGCGAGGACCGCGGCGAACGGGGGCGGCGAGGACCGCGGCGGACGGGGGTGGCGAGGACCGCGGCGAACGGGGCGGCGAGGACCGCGGCGGACGGGGGTGGCAAGGACCGCAGCGGACGGGAGCGGCGAGGGGCGGCGAGGACTGCGGCGGACGGGGGCGGCGAGGACCGCAGCGGACGGGGGCGGCGAGGGGCGGCGAGGACCGCGGCGGACGGGGGCGGCGAGGACCACGGCGGACGGGGGCGGCGAGGACCGCAGCAGACGGGGGCGGCGAGGGGCGGCGAGGACTGCGGCGGACGGGGGCGGCGAGGACCACGGCGGACGGGGGCGGCGAGGACCACGGCGGACGGGGGCGGCGAGGGGCGGCAAGGATCGCAGCGGACGGGGGCGGCGAGGGGCGGCGAGGATCGCAGCGGACGGGCGCGGCGAGGACCGCGGCGGACAGGGCCCAGTCCCGAGATCGGAGTGGACGAGGAAGGAGTCAGGACGATGACCAGGGCCATGTCCAGGAGCCAGAGAAGCCGGGGACCGAATTCCTGCAGTGAGAGACCTGGACACGAGGCGCGGATCGAGGACGGATCGATCCGCAAACGGAATCCTGGAGGATCTTGGGACGAACAGAAACCAGCACGGAGTTCAGACACCAGGAAGACCGGGCAGGAGTCCCGGGATCACGCAGGCCGGCTAGGAGTTCAAGGACCAAGGAAGCCAGGAACTAGACCAGGAACGAGACTTGGAAGAGACCAGACGAGACCAGAGTCAACGTGATGGGGCGTGGCTGGTGTGATGGAGGAGCCAAGAATGCCGGGCTATACCAGGCATACGGTCTTCTCGCCGATGGAAAAGAGTGAAGCAGTAAGCGGGGACATCACAATAGCGGACATGACCACGCCGCGATAACACCAGACGACACGATTTAGTTGCGCACGACCATCAGCTGACCTTTCGCAGCCGGCAGGCCAACCGAGCCTGAGTCCCGCAGCACCACGGCAAACGTTACCCACGAAAGCGCTCGGGTGGGCCTTATCTACCGCAAGGGCGTCAGCATCGTCAGCATCACTGAGCTGCAACCGGTCAGCGGGACATCATTGGTCGCTATTCGCCGGAGCTCTAGGAGGCAAGGGCTTGATGTGAGCTCAGCCAATTTGACGGCGATTCGTCACCGAATGCCCGCGAGATTTCACAGCACACCCCGACTAAACATGACATCCGCAGGGGTGCAGTCCCTGGTCATGTTGTGAAGATTGAGACGAGCCGTTCAGACGGCGATGCGGCCGAGTCGGGGCCACTGGAGGTCGCGCTACCGGGCGGGGCACGTGTCGTGTCCTGCCCCGGCTGGGACCAACCGCCCGGTCCCCCTCCGCCCGACCCGTCACGTCCTGCCCCGGCTGGGACCAACCGCCCGGTCCCCCTCCGCCCGACCCGTCACGTCCTGCCCCGGCTGGGACCAGCCGCCCGGTCCCCCTCCGCCCGACCGGTCACGTCCTGCCCCGGCTGACACCAACCGCCCGGTCCCCCTCCGCCCGACCCGTCACGTCCTGCCCCGGCTGGGACCAACCGCCCGGTCCCCCTCCGCCCGACCCGTCACGTCCTGCCCCGGCTGGGACCAACCGCCCGGTCCCCCTCCGCCCGACCCGTCACGTCCTGCCCCGGCTGGGACCAACCGCCCGGTCCCCCTCCGCCCGACCCGTCACGTCCTGCCCGGGCTGGGACCGGCCACCCAGCCCCCCTCCGCCCGACCCGTCACGTCCTGCCCGGGCTGGGACCGGCCACCCAGCCTCCCTCCGCCCGACCCGTCACGTCCTGCCCCGGCTGGGACCGGCCACCCAGCCTCCCTCAGCCCGACCCGTCGTGTCCGCCTCGGACTCAGTCTCAGCCGGCCGGCCTCCTCCACCAGACACCAGCGCCAGGCGCAGGACAACCCGGGCTCTGTGTCGCCTTCCACCGCGCCCCCAGACTGACCTGGCGCCGTCAGGACGACCAGCTCGGCCGGGTTTCCGAAGCCTATCTTGTTGTGGGCGCGCAGCTCGATGCGGTAGTGGGTCTGCGCCTTCAGGTTGGACACCTTGAACGTGTGCGTGCCCGGGAAGTCGACCACCGACGACCGCTTGTCCGACAGCGACCGCCAGCCGTTGCCAGTGCTGGCCACCTGGCGGGCATAACAGCAAACACGTCGCCACTCGGTGCTCGAACCCAACAGTGACCCGCGGTGCACACCAGCCCCTTCCCCCGCCCGCTCTCAGCCAGGCGCGAGTAGTGCAAGATGATGCATGGCACGTTACCAATCCGCGACCGCCTAGGCGGGGGTAAACGGGATTCTGGACAACCTCCGAGCTGATCCAGACAAATCCACATATTTTCCAGGGTCCTGACTTGACTTACACTTAACCTGACCATGAACTAAAGCCATTGTTGACGTTAACGTATAACTCGAATGCGCTTCTTATAAACTCCTTCGTTCGGCGCCGGTTTTAAATATACGGCTATCTATTCGGTAAACTATATATCTATCTATTTGGCGTCAAATCATCTATTTGGTAAGCAATGCGTGATGTTATTTTGCGCAGCCAATGCTAATCTTTTGCATATATCATATATGATATGTTGTACGGTCTGATCAGCCATCAGTCAATCAACCGACGAACGTCCCGGTAACGATTCCTGAGTGATATTCTGCAGTTATCAGTTGCCGTTTGCATTTTTCCGACACGGCGACTAAACCCCGCGACAACACTGGCGTTAGCTGGAAAACCCGGGCAGCTGTTGGCTCAGTCGCCCGGAATGGTGCAGGAAAGTACATACTACACGCCTGTAGACGACACAGATTACAAAAGTCAAACAGTCCAAGCAGCCTGGCGCAAACTTTGCTTCCTAGCAGACACACGTAACGATTTTGGAAGCAGTTTCCAAATCACGGCGGCGGATAGAGCGGGGCTGTTTGGGAAAACAGTCAAGTGCTTTGCCACAGCGCTGCATAGCACTAGGCCACAACAAATAAGTTTTGAATGCAGACTGAGCAACGGATAGTTCTAGGTAAAGGACGGCGGGAGAGTAATCAGGAAAGGACATCGCTGCGTCGTGGCAGGAGAGCTCAACTATGGGATATCCTTACGTCACAGTACTGCCTGGAGGATGCAAAACAGCCTGCCGCGTTTTTCCGCAACATTAGATACGCGGAAATATTAAAGACGGAACAAAAATAATTCTTGTGCAACTCAAGTAGGAAATATCGGGACGGAGTCATCGCCCGGTCTTCCACCCCGCCTTGGACCAGGCCGACTCGCTCCCCTCCCTCTCGCTCGGTCTTCCACCCCGCCTCGGACCAGGCTGACTCGCTCCCCTCCCTCTCGCCCGGTCTTCCACCCCGCCTCGGACCAGGCCGACTCGCTCTCCTCCCTCTCGCCCGGTCTTCCACCCCGCCTCGGACCAGGCCGACTCGCTCTCCTCTGCCGGTCCGCATAGTTCGCCAGTCAGGTCGATCCCGCTGTTCCAGCCCGGTCCGGTGCGGTCAAAAACAGCAGCTCAACACATCACAGGTCGGCCGCCGAGACGCACCTCGTAATAGGAGATCTCGAAGTTGTCTATCTTCTCGCCGTTGTTGGCGCCCGCCTGCCACTGCACGGTGTAGGAGTCGGAGAACACCGACTTGACCACCAGGTTGGCGTCGTCCTCGGGCCGGACCGTCGAGTCGGGCACTAGCCGGGAGGTGCGGGTCAGACCCGCCGTCCCCGCCGGCGGCCAGCGTCGCCATGCGCGCCCGCCCACCGACTCATCGCAGCAGCAGCGGCGCTCGCTCGCTTCGGTAGACTTTCCACAAGGGTCAAGCCTGGCCAGCTACACCAAAAATATAAAATTTTGCAAAAAAGTCGGTCAACGATTGCCTCGACTGAGGTTGTGACAGTGCTTTTTGGTGACAAATATTCACAGCACGTGTACCGTCTGAAGTGCATACGCACCACAAAGTCACATGAACGATTTGGTCAGCCTTCTTATTGGTAGCATTTATGAACTTTCTGTCGCTGACTCGCCACGACGGTGAGTGCGTCACGCCATGACCAGCGCCAGCGTGCGGCAGCAGCTTACGCATGATGATGGGCGCCTCGGGCACGTCTCTCTTGGGCATGATCATCTGCTGCTCTGCAGACCATTCGCTGAGGCCGACGTCATTCTTGGCAGCAAACCTGGCGCACAGGCGACCTCACGTCAGGGGACACACGTACAGTCCAGCCGGAGACCTCCGTCAGGGGACACACGTACAGCACGGCCGGAGACCTCCATCAGGGGGCACACTTACAGCACGGCCGGAGACCCCCGTCAGGGGGCACACTTACAGCACGACCGGAGACCTCCATCAGGGGGCACACTTACAGCACGGCCGGAGACCCCCGTCAGGGGGCACACTTACAGCACGACCGGAGACCTCCATCAGGGGGCACACTTACAGCACGGCCGGAGACCCCCGTCAGGGGGCACACTTACAGCACGACCGGAGACCTCCATCAGGGGGCACACTTACAGCACGGCCGGAGACCTCCGTCAGGGGGCACACATACAGAAGAGCCGGAGACCTCACGCCAGGGGGGACACATACAGCACGACCGGAGACCTCCATCAGGGGGCACACTTACAGCACGGCCGGAGACCTCCATCAGGGGGCACACTTACAGCCCAGCCGGAGACCTCCGTCAGGGGGCACACATACAGAAGAGCCGGAGACCTCACGCCAGGGGGCACACGTACAAAAGAGCCAGATATCTCGTCAAGGGGCACACGTACAGCACAGCCGGAGACCTCGCGTCAGGGGCACACATACAGAAGAGCCGGAGACCTCACGCCAGGGGGCACACGTACAAAAGAGCCAGATATCTCAAGGGGCACACGTACAGCACAACCGGAGACCTCGCGTCAGGGGCACACTTGAAGCGCAGCCAGGTACCTCGCGTCAGATGGCACACGCACAGAACAGCCGGAAGCCACGCGTCAGGGGGCACACGTACAGCACAGCCAGAGAAGAACCGATCCAGTCAGCACCACTCAGGCCAGACAGCTGCAAATGAGACTGGCTACTGCGGATGAGACTACTGCGCACACACATTGGGCAGGGTCATGGGCGACACGGAGTCGCGGAACAACTGGAGCCGGGCGCTGCGCTGCGAGCACGATCTGAAACACCGTCGGCCGACGGACCGGGGACCCTGACCGATCGGGCAGCCTAGCCCCTTCTCCAGTCGAGAGCCGGCGCTAATGGGCCGGCCCGCTGCAGGAGGTGAAAGAGCCGTCGCAGGGGACATGCACCACCCGGTGGGCCCGGGACTCACCACAGACGACGCCCATCGTCTGCGGTGAGCGTCCGGGCTCAGCGGCGCGGCGCGGCACGACACCGCGCGCGCCGACCACGCTCGCGCCAAGTCACGGCTGGAAGGCGGGCCGACGCCCGGCCGCCTGCCCATGAACGAAAACAAACAATAAACTTACTGATAGGAAGCAAGAAAGCTATCGGTTGGAGCGATGAGCCCGTAAAACAGCGCACTTGGGGAGTCCGAACGATCCCGCACAGCCAGCAATACAAGGACCAGGCGATCCCACCACGTCACCAACACAGAGGTGGCGCCCAGTACAGCGGTGAATCCTGCCCACTGAGGCACAACCGGACCCCGCCGACTGACCGGCGGCTCACCTGAAGACGAACACCTGCTCGGGTCTGAGGTTGTCCAGCACGTAATTGCTCCCGACCGGCCACAGCTGCTCCTCCTTGGCGTCCCACGACTCGCCGGCCACCTTGTACTGCACGGCGTAGGCCACCAGCGGCAGGCCGCCGTCGCTGGCCGGGCCGTTCATCTCGAACGTGACCGTGGTGGCTGTCACCTCGTCGAACTTGACGTCCGTCAGCATGCTCGGTACCGTCGCCTCGAACAGCTCGATGTCGAGCATGCTCTGACCCAGCAGGTTGGACGCCTTGCACGTGAACACGCCGAAGTACGTGGGGTCGGAGGGCATCACCTGTCGAATCGGGTCAGGTCAGATTGGGTCAGGTCACGTCGTTGTGCAATTCACAGGGCCGGCCGGCCGGCCGGACCGCTGGCCGGCCAGATCACAGGGCGGTGCATCGGCCACAGACTGGTCACACTGTCAGTCGCGTCCCTCTAGCCTCAGCAGACCACACGACAGTGTAACTGCTCAGCATATCCTCAACAGATCAAGAACACTCCGAGATTAAACCACAGAAATAAAACCGAGCCTCTCCCACATCTAGTTTTACGTTTTTCAGACCACAGACAGAACTTGGCACACTTATTTTCACTTATTCAACTTGTCGACACCTTTTAAACACTTGTTGCCCGCCAGTCCTGATCAGTGAGCGGCGCGCGCATGCCGGCGCGGCGGGGGGCCCGTCCACCGGCAGCGGCCGCACCTCGGCCGGCCCGACCACGTACGTACGCGCAGCACGGACGTGGGGCCGTTGCCGATCTGCTGGATGTTGCTGTCGAGGTCCTGCTCCAGCAGCCGGCGCTTGAACTCCCACGTGATGGTGGCATTGGGGATGGACTCAGCGACACAGGTCAGGTTCACCGGGTGGTTGTTCCACGAGTAGATCTCGCGGATCGGCGAGTTGACGAACGATGGCTTGAACTGGGTGGTGATGTGGCCGTTCTTGAGCTCGAAGCCGCCCTTGTTGGAGGCGATGCACTCGTACAGGCCGTCGTCCGTCCGGTTCAGATTGGTGATGGTGAGCGTCCCGAACTGCGGCACGGCACGGGTCAGGTCAGACCACGTCAAGCGGCAGCACGGATCGGGTCAGACCGTGTTACGCGGCAGCACGGGCCTGGTCATACCACGTCAGGCGGCAGCACGGGCCGGGTCAGACCACGTCACGCGGCAGCACGGGCCGGGTCAGACCACGTCGGGCGGCAGCACGGGCCGAGTCAGACCACGTCACGCGGCAGCACGGGCCGGGTCATACCACGTCGGGCGGCAGCACGGGTCGGGTCAGACCACGTCATGCGGCAGCACGGGCCGGGTCAGACCACGTCACGCGGTAGCACATGCCAGGCCCGGTTATACAGCAGCGCGGGTCGGGTCAGGTCAGACCGACAGTCAGCGGTGGAGGGGGGGGGGGGGGGGGGGAGAGCGGCGCGGTCACGTCGCCCTCACCTTGAAGCCGTCCTCGACCCGCTCAGTGACGCGGATGCGGTCGTCGCCGGCCGACGTGCCCGGCTCGAAGCGGGCGTCGTTGCCGACCTTGCGGAACTCGACGGTGGGCAGCGGCGAGCCACCGGCCTTACACTCCAGCGTGGCTGTCTCGCCCTCGTTCACCGTCGTGTTCTCGTACCTGAAGCCGACCGCAGAGCTCATTGACACGGCCAGGACGGAGGTCACAGACGCGGCACACGAGCCAAAACAAACTGACCAGACGTGACCAACAAGGATGGCGGGTCAGACCTAGACCTAGATGGCTGATGGCGCGACCAGCCGGCCAAAACAGACTGCAATTGCGCGGGCGACAAGGTTCGTGATGCGTCTAATCAACCAACACAGACGTTGTTGACGAGCGGGCCGACCAGGACAGACCTCAGCGACACGGCGGTCCAGCTCGCGCAGAGACGGTCGGTGAAACGGCCAACACAGAGGCCGCTGACATGGCGAACTAGCTGACACTAGTGGTTAACGCTTAAACATCCCCAAGATAGCCAAATGAGGCACAGTCCGCCCAGTAATCGAAGATCACAAATCGAGATTTGTGGACAGGAGCAATCAATGATATGCACAGGCGGAAGCAGCCGACAAGCACAGCATGCAGTCCTTGACGTCCGTTTCTGTTCATGGCTGTTGATGTTGGCTGTCGTCCGTTCCGGCTACATGACATTACACACGGGCGTATGCTCCTAATGACGTAAGCCAGGCGCTGCATCGTGTATGGTTGAGGTTACGCGCCCGGCACCGCTGCTGTCCCGCCGACGTCAGACTGGTCCGTATACTACCAATGACTCAGGTCACCCCGGCCCTGACTGTCCCTGGGTGGACTAAACATTGCCATCATCATCACTGGCATAACCGCATAACCGTAATCGCCGGTACCGTCGTCGCCTTTGTTGCCATCATTACCATTGCAGCAATCACCGGCGAGGCAATCACCCAACTGTCCCGATTCCCCGTTGGTTAGAGCTTCTGCCTCCCCATCCACCCATCCGTGGTTCGGTGGGCTCGGATCGCTTTAGGCGGTCGCTGCCTGCGGCCAGTAGTCTCGAGCAGCGGCCGGCCGTAACCGTGGGCTTGGTGGCTACGTCCGGCCGCCGAGTTCGCGCCTCTCGCTCGCTCGCTCGCTCGAGGCTGCGATCCTCACGACAATGGGCGGTGAGCGCGGACAGCGGTGTGCTCCTCTGTCCGCCTGGCTCAGTATGGCAGAGGTGGCTGAATGTCCTGGAAGCCCTCCCAGAGCCGGTCACTACGTCCAGGGCGCCGGTGCCCTTCTCAGAAAATCACGAGCTTGGCAGCACGGGCAGGCCGGTGTGCATTAAACCGGTGAAACCGCAATTCATCGTCAAAAATCCCATTATTGCTGACCACGTTCCAAGCGACTAACAATCTGAGGTGGCACTGTTCTGATACCAGGAAAGGCGACCGTCAAGCATTAAACCAGCATAAGCTCAAACAATAGATTCTTTCAACGGCGCTTTATTACTGATCGCGTTTCAAGCCACTAAAAATCCGGTCGCGTCCAGCGTACTCATGAACGCATCGATCAAGCCTCAAGCACCGCCCAGGCATGACCGAGCACGTGTGGCGGATGTCGCCCCGCCCCGCCCCGTACGGCGCTGCTCCGGCGGCGGCCGTCCGGCAGACGCGCGCCCCGAGCGGCCGCCCACCGCCGACGGCACGGCGACGCCCACGCTCGTCTGATCCGCGCCGGACCGCGCATCGCCGCGGTCGCCCCGTCCAATGGACGGCCACGGGTCCCGCTCTGACGGCGAATAATCAGCGCAGTCCAGAGTCGGCAACTCAGCTCAGAGGGCAGCGGTCCGGCCATCGGACAGAGACGGCAGCTGCCTGACCATTGGATGGACGGAGACGGCAGCTGACAGACCATTGGACAGAACAGGCCGCAGTCTCGGCCTCGAGCCCGTTGTCTGCGGTCTTGGCGCCTTGGCCTGCGGCCATTCACGATGCCCAGTAATTCCGGCTTCACGATCAGCTTGCAGGGCGCAAGCACACCACATACCAGTTCGCCCACGAAACGGCCTGGCCGCATGACGCGTGCCGGCCCAAGCCGGTGACGCAGGCAGCCGCCAGTGCGGCGGACGTGCCTCCGTGACTGGGACACATCCGCCAGGTCGACGCCGACGGGACGGCGCCAGCTATGCGTCACGCCGGCCCTCCCCTGGCGCCGCCAAGCGCAAACAGCGCCCGCTGTCTGCACACACCGGCGCGCTCTGGGGAGGGTGACGCTCACACTGCACGGACGGCGGAGCTGCGCGAGCCTCGGCCGCCAGGTGCGGCGGACGGGCGGCTGGGCTGGCCTGGGGTGCTCTGGGCGCCTACCTCGGAGCGGACCACGCATAGGGATGTCCGCCTCCTCCCCGCTAGCCGTCACGCTACAGGACGAGCACACTAGCCGTCACCCTACAGGGCGAGTCCGCTAGCCGTCACCCTACAGGGCGAGCCCGCTAGCCGTCACTCTACAGGGCGAGCGCACTAGCCGTCACCCTAGAGGGCGAGCGCGCTAGCTGTCACTCTACAGGGCGAGCGCATTAGCCGTCACTCTGCAGAGCGAGCGCACTAGCCTCATTCTACAAGGCGAGCGCGCTAGCCGTCGCTCTACAGGGCGAGCCGTCACTCCACAGAGCGAGCGCGCTAGCCGTCGCTCTACAGGGCGAGCGGGCTAATGACGCGCCACTTCCATCATCACAGGGGCTATCGCCCGCCGTCTGTACGCCGGGGCGAGAGCGGGAGGGGAGGGGGGGGGGGGGGGGGCATCCATCGCTCGTCAACTCGGCGTTTCGCTACAGCCGGTGAGGTCAGCGGCTCCGCACGGAACCGACGCTGGGTCCCGGCACGTACTGCCCGTCACTGCCACACCCCGTTTGCAGACGCGGCGTGCCGTCCGGCCGGCCGGGTGAGATCAGCTCTATTGCCCGGCGTTCGTCCCACACAGGGCGAACGGGCGCCGGCCGCGGCTCCGGCCGGGCCGCCGCTCCAGGCCGGGCCGCCCTCCCTGGACGCCAGCACACGCCCCGACGGCGCTCGTGGTGGGCGATCGGCGCGAGCCGACCGGGGCGGGGCGCGCCTACACACTGCTGCCGCGGAGATCTACTCACAGTCCTGGGACATGAGATCTACTAAGGTGGACCTTATCGGATACTCATCTACCAGCAGTTAAATGCACTTAAGCTTAATCCTCCACCCACAAGGAGAGCCTCAGAGACCACCTCAACTAAGTCCTAAATTCCTTACTTCTCGCAGGGAATCCATCTCAACGCGGTCTTTTAGGCTGCTCTTCTTATCCACATCACTATGAAAAGCATCGCGATCGTCCTGATGGCCTTTGCAAAGCCGGGGCACCCAAATTTAAGATAAATTAAGCTCTGACCCTTGTGAGCAGATATGACGCTTCAGAGGTCGTACCATTAAACGCTAATGACATAATTTACAGGTTTAGAAGATCTTTATAACGCCGCTTTCTCCATTGATGTGGCCTGTTTAGTTCGTGATACGGCAGGACATGCCAATGAAACAACAGCTCACCCGTTTGACCTGGCATTATATGCCACAGGTCATATGTGTGTCCAGCGTACTCAACATTGCCCCCTGGCCCTGCCGGAGAGCGCTTATCCCTTGAGGTAACAGGAGGGACCGTGTTAATTTCACGGATACGGCCTGATTTGATCTGTCAAAGGTTACATTTACCATTGCCCAGTGACATCTATCACACCGTGACTCTATCCCGCTCAGCTTTGGAGATTTGGGGGCGCCTCTGAGAGCCCCTCACAAGACGAAGGAAAGAAAAACTCCCGCCAGGCGAGGCTTAACACACCCCGTGGCTTAAGCCAAAAAGCATGCACAGTTTCGGGGCGACACAATAGCCACAACATAGATCACCAATTCGTCATCAGCTGCTTGCGATCTGGTATGGCGGCGACAGCGTTTTACGCACATTCCGTCCGTTTAATACTGTCCGCGGTGCTGTTAGTGATCCCAGAGGACTTGCCGCGTGAGTCCCAGTTTGTCGTGACGGCAATGATCCGCGCTGCGTCCTGCTATCATCTCGATCTCCCCGCCAATCCCGATGGTCCTTTCAGCCGTCAGGCCACGCAGGCACACAATAGCCCCCCACGTGAAGCGAGGTATCATGTCACCCGACCTCGGCTCTAACGCCTATCTGGCAGCTTGATCAGCCGCGCGGGGCCCCGCCGGACCGCCCGACACCGCGCCGGAGAGCGCGCGGCGACCAGCCCGGGCAGACCCGGCCACGGCGTCACCCACAGCCGACCGTGACGTCCCCAGCATCCGCACCCCACCTGAGAGCAGCGCCAGCGGCCAGCCCGGACAGGCCCGACCACGGCGTCGCCCACAGTCGGCCGTGACGTCCCCAGCATCCGCGTCCCGCCGGAGAGCAGCGCCGGCGGCCAGCCCGGACAGACCTGGCCATGGTACCACCCAGAGCCGGCCGTGCCGTCCCCAGCACCCGCGTCCCGCCGGAGAGCGCGCGGCGGCCGGCGCCGCTGCCGGGTGCGCGCGCGGCGGCGCCGCTGCCGCCCCCTCACCGGATGATCTCGGGCTTGACGATGACCACGACGTTGACGCTGGTCTCCACCCGGCCGACGGCGTTCTCGGCGATGCACTTGTACTCGCCGCCCATGTCGCGCCTGGCCGGGTCGAAGTTGAGCGTGCCGTCCTTGGGGTCGACGCTGAGCCCGTCCACGGTCGACACGTCGGCGTTGTCGGGGTTGACCCAGGTGCGCGTCGGCACCGGCTTGCCGGCCGTCCGGCAAGGGATGCTGCCGGCCTCCTTCTCCGTCACCTCGACCTCCGTGCCCGGCTGCGGCTCCAGGATCTCCGGCCGCGAGTGCACCTGTAGGGTCGGCTCAGGTCAGGGCACGTCACATCTGGCATCTGACTTGAGTTCATAATGAGATAGGGTTGGAGAAAATCAGCTTGTGCTGCCGGCATGACGACTTCATATTTTCTAAGCACCAGCATGGCCGTGACCGACTCAACGACAACCCAGATATTCAAAGGTCAGCTCACACCGCGCCACACTCACTGCCACATCCGCGCGTCCCCAAACCCACGACACACCATAGCGTGCGTGAAACGCCCCGGCTTTTGCAGGGCCGCGCGTGCGGGCCAGCGCCGTGCTGTCGGTGGTGCCGCACTGAGGTGCACAATGGGGTCTAAACAGCGCGGGCCGGCGGGGAATGCGTGCGATTTCTGACAGCGCTCCATTTCGCCAATGACATTTGTTGCGACAGTCGGCGGATCCCCCTTCAACTCCCATCGCATTAGCCTCGTGTTTCGACGCGTCAATGTCATTGCGAGCATCCGCCGGTCCCCCTGCAGCCGGCCGCCCGCGAGCCCTCTGACCGGCCGCACAGAGCCGGCTACAGCCGACCGCGGGCCCAAACGGGGCGGCGGCCCCGCCCCGAGCCGATCCATCGGTAAAGGCGGAGGGATGTGGACGGCTGGCCGACAGACTCGATGCCGGGTGACGGCCCCGACCCGACCCGACCCGTTGGTAGAGGCGGAGAGGCGTGGACGGCTGGCCGACAGACCCGATGCCGGGCGACGGCCCCGACCCGACCCGACCCGTTGGTAGAGGCGGAGAGTTGTGGACGGCTGGCCGACAGACTCGATGCCGGGTGACGGCCCCGACCCGACCCGACCCGTTGGTAGAGGTGGAGAGGTGTTGGCAGCCCACCGACGGACTGATGCCGGGCGACGGGCCGGATTCGGGTGGGAGCAGACGGAAGCCACCCGGGCAGCCGCGCCGTCACAACAACACGGGCCATCCAGCAGCGTTAAGTGGAGAGGGCGGGACCCGGGCGGTTTTACTCCGGAGCAATTTAGGTCAGCGATATCCGCCGAGGGAGAACGGAGTCTGGCACTCGGCGGCGGACGCGGATGCGTTACCTCCACTTGGATGTGGCGCTCGTCCAGTTCACCCTCGTCGGGCACCTTGGCACGGCAAATGTAGGTGCCATCGTCCTCAGAGGAGATGTCCTGTATCATCAGGCCGTCCTGCTCCACCACGTACCTGGTCGGCCAGGTCAGGTGGAATCAGGTCAGGCCAGGACATCATGTCACCAGGACGCGTCGGAGCAGCGTCACGAGCAGGTCACTGGGGTTAACGTCGGCCAAACGCGGGCTCGCAGCGGGCGCTGCGGTGTCAGGGGGCCCGCGCAGGACGAGCACGGCACATGACGCTGCATGGCGCATGATAGCACATGGCGCTGCATGGCGCATGACGACACATGGCGCTGCTTACAATCATATCACCAAGCGACACCATTCGACGAGAGCATCAGCTTCGTTTGAGGTTCCCGTAATCAGACGAATGACAAGCGTGCTGAAAGCAATGACCACAAGGTATAGCTCAATCAGATCACATACATCCCCAGCGAACAATTAAACAATCACTGTGTCACTGTCGATGAAAAGCAGGCACGCTGGAAGTCATTACGTGGCTGCATCGTAAAATACAACATCCGACAAGACAAGGCGGCCGCAT